AGCCCTGATCATAGTTCAGGGGTGTGAAACAAACTTCAAATCAGCTCCATGGTACCTTAAGGTTTTAGATGGTTAAAAAAGTGTCTCCAGAATATAAATAGCTAAAACAAGGTCATACATTGAGACCAGACTCAATTTAAGATTAAAGTTATTGTTCCCTTCTTTGTACTTTTCTGCGTTAAAATAAATGACAGTCATTTTAGCTGTTACCATAAGTGGCTCATTACCCCTGAGTAAAGCACCTTCTTGTGTGTGCTGGTGGTCATGCTGTCTTTAACCCTGGACGCTGCCCTGATATGAGGTCACTCACTGGAGAGCTTCAATATCGAAAGGCCTCACTCCTTGCTGCTGGGCTCCAGCTGAACTGGTGTTTGGGATACATGCGAAAACCCGAATTAACATGTTTTCTAAAGGAGACTTTCTTAGTTATCCAAACATTTCCTTTTTTATCCTCATAGCAAAACATATTTTCATGTAAAAGGAAAGAGAGGGGAAAATCAAATACAGATAAACAGGTAAATATAGATTGTGTTTTTCTTTTACTACAAAGACAGAGGGAAAGAAGATCAATGAGGCAAATTAGATCCACTGCAGCTTAGTTCAGTTAATAATAATAGTATTAGCTGTGACAGTGCACTGTGGGGCCTCAAACTTGGGAGGGGGACAGGGGAACTCAAAAGGAAGGGACGGTATGTGGGCAAGCAGTCCACTGGGTGTGACACTTGCAGACTGAAAGCTCCAAGCAGCAAGACCTGGGGATCACCCCCTGGGTGTGTTGCAACCTCAAGACCTGGGGATCACCCCCTGGGTATGTTTCAACCTCAAGAATTATTCTGTTCCTAAAAAGTATTCTCATTTCAGAAGAGTCCATGGTGGTCACCAAGAAACCGAAAGCAAACAGTTAGATGACTCCCGATTCACCGGGCTGGCATTGCAAGAAGTCCTGAGAACACAGATCCCTAGGGCAACGCTGTTGACGTAGCAGTGTGCTTGCTGTCTTGGTGCCTCTGTCTATTTTATAAATAGCATAAAGGTGACAGGGAAAAAATAAACTGTAGTATGAAATTTACAATAATGCTAAAATGTTTAAATTAGCAACAAAAATTATGTTACTGTTGTTTTATGTAAATACTATCTTGCTATATTGTTTTATTTGCCTGTTTTCTGAGATATTGAATGAATAACTTGTAGGTTAAAACTGTTCCACAGAAAATATTTGATATATGAAAATTCATGTAAATTTTTAATTACTTAGTTGCATTGATTTAGAAATGGAAGATTTCCAGGGAAATCATGGAACAGTAAAATTCTGGGGTAAAATCTCTAGTTTCATTTATAATTCTAGGCACATCCCTTCACCCTCCCATGTGCTAGTATTCGGACTGACTAAAGCAAAATCAGCTGTTATTCATTTAATATAATTGATCACCCTTCTCAATAGAGAAATTATGAATCCTGGCAAGGCTGCACTTATAACCTGGAATTCTGGAATCTGGGTCCATTTGATGCGTGACACCTTGTAGATCTACACATAGCTGCTCAGGCCACCTATGGAGCATGACTTCTCCAAACTATCACTCAGTTTTAGCGATGTACTCCAAAACTGAAAAGCAAATTGACCCTAATTATCGATCATTGGGAATGAGAGCGCTAATGGAAGATGAAGAAATAAAAAAAAGCTGGCCCCCAGAGGCAAAGGAATTATATTTAGAAAATGTATTAAAATAACGGAGAAGAACAAATTCACTTCTTCCAGGGTGGGAGGCTGGACCTTGTCACCCGCTGTCAAAGTGAGGACAGGAAATAGCACTTCCTCCCGTCTCCTGCCTTTTCTGGTTGCTTGGCTTCAGGATTCCACCAGAGAAGCTGTTGACAGAGAGCAGCTGGCACCACTGATTGCTAAATCAATTCCCAAACTACCAGAATCTGTTGTTTTCATTTCCAATCATTTCAAGACCCATCAGTAACCTCACAGACAAACCCCTCTGTGTTCTCCTTCACCACAATGCATTGTCACTCCAGACACAAAGAATAAAGTTTCAGCATCTAACTGTGCTGCCGGGTGCTTCTTTATCAAGTCTATGGTTAGCTGCATGGGAACCTAAGGAGTTTACAAGATTCCTTCAACAATCCAGGTGGCCAGCAATGTGTGTCTTGGGTGAGGAATCGCAGTCTCTCTGCTTGCAGTTTCTGTGTCAGGCACCTCTGACCATCAACAGAGGCAGCGCTGTGCTAACAGCTTGGCCTCCTCTACCAGGTGCAATGGTGAGATTGCCTTGTCCTCATCAAATGTAAATTAGAGGAGACAGAGGTTGTGCATTTGTTTTAAACTGTACCATTTAGGAAACTTGGTGAAGAAAAAGCAAAGGGAAAACTACAGGGCACTGACATCAGAACACCCCCCAGCTAAGAAACACACTTAGCATTTACCATAAGTTCTGCAAAAGTGTGCAGCTATGTGGGCATTTTCTAAAACTTCCTCCTAAGTTCAGTTCCTGAATGTCTTGAATGGAGTTATCAACCACTTAGCGCAGCTTTAAGAGAATAAAACACTTGGGTCCATGCCGAGTTCAATGCTGGCCCTGGCCAGCCCACAGCACCCAGAGCCCCTTCTCTCCTCTGGCCTCCTCTCTGTGAGCACCCAAAGCTCTGTAAAGGCGACACGGGTGAAGGTCACGCTGACTCCCGAGTCTCCCTGCAACTGTCATCCTACCATGCAAAGCAAAGCTCTTTGTAAACTTCCTTTCTTATCATCCAGCTCAAGGAAACAGGATTTTAAACAACAACATTCCGTCTGAAAACAGGGTTGCTTCTCTTCATCTTATTCTTATAAAACAAAATCAGTTTTCTGGTTTTTAGCCACTACGTTAAACTATTTCCATAGCACCAAGGGACTTGGCAAAAGGATGGCAAGATTGTTGCAATCCACTCTCTCTTTCAACTTCACCTGCAGAAAAAGTTTTGTCTCTGACACAGACACATGCAAATATTCTGTACTCACACTTGATGCAAAGAAACTTGAGGGACTAAAGCAGAGCCAAAGAGCTAATCAGAAAAGAACCTCCTAGCACTAGGGTTTACTTCAAGGGGCGAAGACGATCTTGAAGCTTTGTGTTAGCAGAGAATTTTCTACAGGAGGCCTTAATAAAGATGATAAAAACTTTGTATCTTTCAACTACAGATATGTGAAAAAAGAACCTAACTATTTCACAGATAAAGAACGAAAGGGGAATATGTCAATAATTGTAATTTAATAGGCTTAACCCTATAATTAAATCCATGAACATTTCCTCACATGAATGACCACTTTGGAAATCAGCCAATCTCTTTTCTGTTTTAAATTGTGTATAATTGATATTACTTTGTCATTTAAAGCAATGCACTGTTCATTCACTCTCTGTCAGGAGGTTGTTTATAATGATATAAAAATCATATCGCTCTGGGAGGAAATCATTATCAATATAACCTTGTTATGAATTATAGAAAATAGGAAAGGTTTCTATCTCATGCAGCCATCACAGGAGAGAATACTAAATCAGTGATTTGCTTTTTACAGTGTTTCCTATGGCACGGTGGTATTTTTTTGGGGTCTATTTTCATTCAGTTTCTAAGATCTCCAATGTTAAAAGTAGTGTTGCCTATGAAGCCAGTGCTTATTATGTGAACACCGGGCAGTAACAATGCCAAGTCGCTTGGAGGCCACACTTCTTCCCTCAGGAAACCAGCGTATCAATCACGAAACAGAAACACCGGGCAGGAGAGAGTAGCAGACATCGCTGAGCCAGACCATAAACAATGAAGTGTAAGTGGCAAAGGGCAGAAGCCAAAGAAAATAGGATTTTATTTTTAAGAGAACAGTGGTGTGGACCGCACCTGCACAGTGTGATATTTTGTTCAGCTTTTCCCTGGATTGGTTTCACTTGGTAATTACAAGTTTAAGAAGATTCCAGTTTTATAATTATCTTTTCCTCCTGGACAAAAAATTAACGACCCTAACGGGAAAAATTACTAAGTTAGTGTAGACCATTAGCAGCAACCACCAGAAAGCCAAGAATTGCTGACACTGATAGAACCAGGCTTGGTGAGGCTGTCCTAGTGCTCGGCTCTCTCCTCTCAACCTTCACAGTGAGTGTAATCCACGTCAGATGACTTAGTGCTAACAGGGTATCTCCTCATTGTCCTCCTCCGCACTGCACTTTGGTCACGACCACTGGCTGGACTGTTAACCTCCTGCTCTGAAGCTCCTCTTCTGATCCCCAGCATAGTGCGTACTAGAGATCCAGGGACCGCAAGCAGGTGATTAGTAGGGCAACTCTGAACACACCAACCTGGAAGCTGACAAGGTTATAATATGCAAAAAAATTGCCTTCAAAAACAAGATAATTATGACAATAACGCTGGAATATCATTTTTATGTCTTAAACAGATTTTATAAAGCTGAAATGTATTACGCTAGATAGTTCTAGAATTATCCGCAACTATTGACTAATGTCTCAGTCTACAACCAGGAACACCAGTGATAGACTCACAAAATTCATTACAGCTGCGCTCTTTTACTAACAGAAAGACCTCATGCAAGAAAAGGGCATGGAAGAAGAATATGTATTTATTAAACATGTCTGCTCTAAAAGTAGTTGCATTGAAACACTTCCAGGACTTGTTTATTATTTCCATATTTAAAACAAGGGCACTTTAAGAAAAGCAAGTAGAGCTTTGTGCCTGTTTGCATGGTTAGAATGAGCTTGAGGCTGTCGGTGTTTTAGCCACTGTATCACAGGCTGCACAAGTGAATCCTGAAGCAACACTAGGTGAACATATTCTTATAAATACCTTCTGAAGCACTCACTTTTCTGTAAAAGATGAAAGGTAAGCTTATTACAAGACCTGACACCTTAACAAATAATACCTCACTAGTTTGATCATTCTTTGATTAAGCCTTAATTTTTCCTTGCTTCTCATGCAGCAATTCAAATTACTCTGCATTATTTGTTCCCTTCCAGGCTATTTTGGATCGGGCCGTAAGCTGTCTTGGCGGGTTACCTGAAGGGAGTTCCTTCCCATCCAACTGCAGATACACAGCATTGCTAGGGACCAAAATGACACTTTCCCGAAGGCCCCTCCCAGCAAGGCCATCCGCCTAGAAAGGAATGCCGTGAAGGACAGACTTCTGAGATGGTGAGGAAAATGAAAGCTTAGGGATTCACTTATCTGCTTTTCTTTTCTGAGCACAAAGCAAGAGAAGACATAGGAAAGCTGTGCCAAGGGACCAGAGGCCCCCTTCCAGCCTTCGCCCTCACATTCTGCAGCTGAAGGCGAGACCAGGAGAGACAGCAGTAGGCAGGAGCTCAAAGCACCCCATCTGCTTTGGTGTGCATTTCCACTAAGTATAGTGACTACAATGCTGAATGGATTGATTTAGACAAACATGACAGCCTCACCTGACATCCACAGACTTCACATACTCCGAAAGCAAGTCCTTGGGGAAACGGCAGGCGCAGGGGCCACGCACGCCCGTCACTAAATGCATGCTTTCCCTCATTCCCCCTTTCTCTCAGCTTCACTTTGCACACTGCCTGCAGTTTACTGATGCGTGCATGCAACAAGTTTTTGTTCATTCTGAGCTTCTGTCTCCAGAGATACGACCAGCAGCTCCTGGGAAATCTGTAGAGAGGGTTATTTGCAATGCCTGGAAGCCTGTCGTCTTTTTCTATAACAAGATTATTTCTACAAATGAATAAAGAGGCTCTGCTGGGTTAAACGTCAATTTTTTTCACTGAGATAAATACCGTACATCAAGAACTTAATTCAAGAACCATATCATGTTTCTGGCAAGGTAAGAGGCAGGGCAGATGTTTAAAGGCAAATATTTCTTGAAGATGAGTAAAAGGCAGGAAAAAAATCTTACTCAGGAGAGACATAATAACAGGTTATAAATCAGAAAGATAAAGGACGTGGTAAAGAAAGAAACCATGATTTTGCTCTGTCTGGGAAAAACCACACCCACTAAGGAGGGCATATTATACTTATGAGAAGTATGTTTTAAATGTATATGGGTGTGCATGAGTTAAGTCATGGCTTACCTCTGTGGTGTCTGTTTACTCCATTGCACAGGGGGCGGGGGGCAAAGTGGTCCAGGCAAGTGTAAACTTGCTTTCCTTCATTTGCATTTTTTCTTTCCTTAACTCCTTTTATGAAAGTAGCTGTTCTACTTCATTCTTCATCTTCCTCCCTATTGCATTGCTCTAACAATCTCCTCTCTTATTTGTTTCTGAAAGTCTTCTATAGTTTGCTCAGTCAATGTTGTATCACTAGTGTCTCATTATTCGGTAGCTAGGGAACACAAAGTCCTGGGGTTTAGTATATAGCGGATTAAGAGGAAAGTCCATGCCCCCGACTGCAGTAACTGAGAAATAAGTGAACGTTTCCACTCTTGATGGAGAAGCAATACAAGTGGCATTCCAAAGGGCACAGAAAGTGACTTCACTTGCAACACACGTAATGAACCCAAAGGTGCCTTCTGAAAGAGTTCACTTTTAGATAAATATTGTATATCTTAACTTCTCATAGGAGCTCGGGTTCTTGTGGAGATATATTTAAATTTTCCATTTCACTGCTCTTGCGTAGTGTTATTTATGGTGGAGTCAGTAAGAATTTATTTTCATTTTGAGACCTACAACAGTTTTACTAGTAAAAGTGCAATTGTGAATAGTGTGTCTTTTATTGTGTATATGCACCATACTTTACAGACTCCAACAATTAGTATACTAAGTTACAATTAGATAGGATAAATAAATTCTAATGTCTAAAGAGGAGCAGAGTGATTTTACATAATGATAATATAATGTGTATGTCAGAAGTTAGAAGATTTCAAGTGTTCTTACCATACAGAATTAAAGTTTGAGGATCTAGAATGCATATTCTAATGTGAATGTTATGTGATGTATACATGTATTGATGTTTCATGGTATTTCAAATATGTATACTTCTACTTGTTAAGTAAAGTGTATATATAAAAAAATCTGATTTTGCAGTACTAATCAACATGTTCATTATGTCACAATAATCATTACTTAGCTGATCATGTTTATTCAATTATATTGACTTATGTTTATTTTATTCTCCTTGTCTCTTCAAATGCAAAGAGTTAATCCTGTAAAAGTCATTTGAGGCATTTGATATGATGTTCTGTATTAAAATGTCACATTTCAAAGTTATGTAAACCAAATACATAACACAATGTTTTATAATATTGTATTCTCTATGGCCAATTATGAAAAATACAAGCAGAGCTGCAACTGTAGAGATGTAAGAGGGTCAAACAGGACACAGATGATCTGGTGTGTTGTTTGCTTCTGTGGCTCTAATAAAAGGTGTTTCCCCGATCTGGCATCTCTATGTGTCATAATGTGCAGATTTCAATCATGGAGCAGAGCCAAAGCTCAGAGAGCCATGAACTGGAAATGTGGTTGACCAGTTGACTCATCTGTCCCAAGACTCCCACTAGCAGCCTCACGCTACAGAGGAGGAAGCAGAGGCCTGAGAGATTGAGCAACCTGAAAAGTCACAGTGCGAGCAGCGGCAGGGCTTACCTAGGGCGCATGCACTGTGCCCATGCAGTTTTCTTAAGTCACCTATGTCTAGTTCCCATTGCCAACCCATGAGTAACAGTTTTCTGAGATATGTCCTTCCTTTCTTCAAAACTACATTTCAGAAGCATCAGCATTAGCCATAGTCCAAAATTCCTCTCCCACTGCCAATTCCACGAGCAGAAGCATGCTCTGAGATGCTGCCTTTCCATCACTGCTCAATTTACATCTTCCACAGATTTATTTTCCATACCAAATATCAATTACATCTGATTGACCAACTGTCCTGCTACCTGTCATCAAAAATAGATCGCTTCTGATTTTCTGATGTTTTCCAATCTTAGTTTATGTGCTCTCAGACTGACATCCTCACTGACTCATAAACACATCAATTTCACATGCACTTCCACGACCCTGTTCACTTTCTCTGCATTCCAAGGCAGTTCAGCAAAGATTACTCATCACTCAAGCCCTACGGATCCACGCCACCTTCCCTGACAGCAGGGGTCACCTGTCTGGTTCACCTAAAACTTGTAATATCTGCAGTCTGCACTGCTCAATCTGACTCCATTAGAACCTTCCCCGGCATCCACCAGCAGCCAGAAGTTACACGGCACAGGTGCTCTGACTCAGTTCGCTGACTATCCTGACCACCTGTCTCTACCTCTGGCTTCTTATCAGAACTCCATGTTTGGTTAACTGACTTCTGACAGAGAGTTCAATATGAGAATTAAATGAGACACAGTGTGCGAAGCAACTGTAACTGCCCTGAGTACTGAGCAGGAGCTACCAACAGACGTTTGGAGCAGGTTCTCCACTGCATCTGGATGCATCCAGATACCGTCGGAGCCTTCACAGGTGTGTGAGAGTGTGAGGTATAAAATGCTGCAGGCCTCTGCACTCTGACTTCACTTCACTCCAGCGCTAATGAGGACATTCTTTTGGTTTCTCACTCCAACAAATGCCAGATAACGTGTACTCTCTTCTCTTCTAGTGTGTATAAATTCCATAATTTTAGCTCTATAATATTCCTAAAATCATGCTTTTCTTTCTACCCAGTCTTTGAAATCCTTGCTTTTCTGCTCTTCCTTGTTCTCTTCCTAAATTCCACTCCCTTCAAACTGCCTCGCACAACAGTTCTAGCTGTTTCTCTTTTCAGGGTTCCTCGAGTACCAGCCAAGTGAACTCCTTGCATTTCCCCAAGAGTGTGATCACAAAAGAGTGTCTCAATTTTTAAAAAATATATAGCAAAAGAAACAAAGTCATTAGTCTCCCTCAGAATACATTTCACGGGCTGGGGATTTAGCTCAGCGGCATAAGCACCTGTCTTGCAAGCAGGCAGTTGTGAGCTCGATCCCCAGTACCGATAAAAAGGAAAAAGACAAAAAAAAAAAAAAAAGAAAAGAAAAGAATACGTTTCGCTCAAATCACCCCCCTCACTGTGAATCGTGTTTGGCACTTTCTGATTTGGAAATGCTTTTTTATGACTGGTTTTAGTTGCATTGCCATAGCTGCCTTGACGTGCTGAATCACTGAAAACATTCACATTTTGTGGCCATTTGGGCTTTGGAGATGAACCTGAAGTCACAGTGTTTGATCCCATGATTGAGGGAGAAGAGAATACTTGCACTGTTCCTGTGATCTTGTCTTTATTGCCTGGCAATCAGCACGCACACTCACCATATTTTTCTATCATATCCACTAAAGACACTCATGAAAAAGGGCTTCCAGAACTGCTTCAGAAAGTGGCAAGAATGATGGGATAAGAGGGTTCAAAAAGAGGAGCAGTATTCGGAGGGGATCAATGGCAATGTGTCCCAGTAATGCAATTTTTAACAATTAAATATTCATTGTATTTTTCAATCATTCTCTGTATGTCTGGAAGATAGACTTGGTATTAATCTTAAGGATTTAGAAAACCATAGCCTGGGTTTGAATCTTTTGGATGCCACCTCCTGAGATGAGGACAAATCACTTTATCTCTTTGTACCTCAATTATTTCATCTAGAAGACAAGAATGGTAATGTACACTTGTCAAGGCTTTATTTGTATTACACAGGCTATCTCAAAGCTGAGAAGAGAGCAAATTTTCACACCTTGTAATGACAAAGGAGCAGTTCAAGATTTTGTGATTCTGGGTCTCACTATCACCTCGATCTGGTATGTCTTCTCTCAACTTCACATGGCCATACCCAACCAAGTGGTTTAAGTATTCAGTAAGATCTTTGATATTCATTACTAAGTCCTAAGTATAACACGGATCAGAAATGATGATAGATAAATATGATATTGATAGAAATAATGTCATTATATAGTTAACTTTTATAATAAAAGAGAAAGGAGGAAAGGAGGGAATATGTGTATATTCCCTCACTTATCATTTAAACAACCTTAAAATAAATTTCATTAATTAACTTAAGATTCAAAAACATTTAATGCGTACAGCATTTAGAACCTAGCTTGTGTGATCTGCCATGCTTACGTTGTCTCCTTTAGTTCTCAGTATGCTATCAAGGTCCATTAGTTTCATCAAGGATTCATTATGTACTTTTTAAGCTATTTTAACTATTTGTGAAGACTAATGTTGCTCTAAGGAACAAAATCAATTACTTATTTTTAAAATGGAATGAAATCCATTATAGCTTGTAATTACCAGGAGAGAATTCTCTCACCAATGGAGAATTTTAAAGATGCAAACTCTCCTTACATCATGGCCTCTATCTGATCATTATTCCTACATACTGAGCTCACTCCATTTCATCAATTTAGGAGTTTTTTGTCATTATTTATCATTTTTAGCATTAATAACTAAGACCAAAGTAATAAGAAACCATTGTAATGATGGAATTGTCCAGAAGAAAGACATAGTCATACAGTGCTTCTCACCCTGCTCCCACCACACAGGTGCCTTTCTCTCCAGACTAAAGCATCATCACATAAGGCAGACAGAAAAGAAGGCTGACGACTGCTTTTCTAGACTATTTTTAGTTTTAAATTCAGAATTTGATTTTCCATCTATAAGTGCCCAAAAAAGCAAAGGTGGATGTTTGCGCACTTATTAGATGAATCAAACAATGAATGCAGAAAGACAGACGGTAACAGGCTAGACTCTAATGATCAGGCTGAAATTGAAATTGATTCCACACCTGAAATCTCATCCTGAGTCTTCAAAAGACAATGGCTTTTCTCAAATCCAAAAATCAAAGAATAAATGATACATACAAAAAGATGAGAAGAAAATATGGTATTTTCTTGCAGTTAGCTCTGTAGCAAGTCAATGCTATATTTTGTAACAAGAACCCAAGCCATTCTATTCTACTAGAAAAGAATATGTTAGAAATGTCTTCCAGGCTGAAGTCTATGTTTCAAAATTTATAGTTTTTAAGGGCAAAGATGTTAAGGAAAGGTAAAAGCAGGTATCATGAGGAAATAGACATTCTACAAATCACAGAACTGGATTACATTTTTCATTCAAATTGGTTGTAAATATAAAATGAAAATATTTTGCTAATATGGGAAGAAAACAAAATACTTGCCACCAGATATTTCAAAACTTCAGTCATTACATTAGAAAGAGATAGATAAATAAATAATACAGTGAGTACTGGTAAAACCAGCTCTATATAAAATAAACATTTAGTTTTGCTCTGTTGAAATTCTCAGCAAAGTTTTCACTATCACTTTAGTTTGAGTCCTGTAAACTATAAAATGATTTTAAATATTCTGAAATAATTGTAAAGACTATATTGCAAGCAGCAATAACTATTCTTGGTATATTGAAATTAACATTTTCTGAGTCTCCACTGCATACTTATCAGTTAAACTATCCTTACTTGTGCAATTATTTGTATCTCATCTCTCTACTAGCAGCTGGCTAAGGTAACTCAACAAATGCTCTTTTGATTAAAGACTGTAAATTCCAAAGCACTTGTTGTATAAAAATAATTAGACATTTGGCAGAATTAAGGGAAGGCTTTTCACAGACAACTGCTTACCTTGGAGCAAGATTTTTGGGAAAAGAATAAAGAAAGGCTGAATTTGAGCCGATCTTCTCTGATACAGCCAAGTGAAACACAATGGATTAAACCATCATATAATAATGACTACTGCAGTTACAGTGGGCCTTTTACGAGCAGGATCAAGCCGGGAATACAGGTCAGTATCACCAAAGTTCACGGATAAAATATAATAAAATGAGACTACTGACTCCTTGTTAGTTTTTGTAACTGTGGACTTCAAACCCACTGAATTGCAATTTTGGCTTCCGAAGACTACCTTATTACAGTCCGAAGAGAATTTGGTAGGTGTATACTCTCAATTTTAAGAAAATAAATGACAGAGAAAGTGGAATAAATTACCACAGATGTGTGGTTCAGGTAAAATTCAGGGAGTTACAGAAATATAAGGGCATGAAAACTTCTAAGAAATGAACTTCAACTCACACTGAACTTTAATTATAACAATTACACAGATGAAAGCTGGGGGGAAAGTGTGAAAATTACTAATCCCAAGTACACTATCCAAGTCCTTGTCCTGAACATTTAAATTGGTCTCATTATCTGTGGTGAATAGAAGAGGCTGTGAGTGATGTGACTGCTTCCTTGTAGAGACGGCGTCTGCTTTACCTTGGATTACACTGTGCAGAAATCTATGCAATTCATTAGTCCAGAGAGGAGCAGGTGAAGAAGAAATGCAGGCCTGAAGGGCCAGATCATGACGCTTCTTTGAAAGAGTTAACAGAATGAATGAAAGCGTGGGTATAATCGCTGCTTAAGAAAAATGTGCTTAGCCATAAAATATTGAAGAGGAAACTGGAGTTACTAGGAGATTGATAAAAATCACACAGGAATATTACTTCCACCATGGGCACAATCATATTCTAAACAAAACAGAAAGAAATAGCACCATAAACTGAGTCTCAGTTTTCCAAATAATGTCTGTATTGGCCAGTTTTAGTTTTATCATAAGAAAATGACAAGTAAACAATTCTAATTCCTCGGGGGGGAAAAGTGGGGTTTGAGCCCCACAACAGCCTCCGTGGGACGGGATGCACTCCTACCCCGCCCAGTAAGGGCTATTTGAAACGTGATATGGGTTCAATAACATATATTCACTTTGTAGATTTAAATGGAAGTTTTTACTGCTTCAACTTAATAGAAAGTAAGGAAGTATCAGAGAATTTTAATTAGGTACAACAAAATGATCTCATCCTTACAATTATACTTATTAAGGTGATATCTAAAATTGAGTGGATTGTCACTGAACATTAAGTATTGCATTTTCTTTATTTACTTTGGAGAATCAGAAAGGGCAATTTAATTCAACTCGGGGTATGTATATGAAGGGTTAGCTAAAACTTTTAATGACATCTTAGAAGTATTTTATTCTCCGATCAAACTGATTTGGGCCACGTCTGTGAGTGCGACAACATTCTACAAGGAATTACTGAATCCCACAGGGAAAAATCAATTCTAGTTTTAAAAACTCATTACCAATAATTAATAATGCACTCCATCTAAACAATAGCAGGTGTTCCACTAATCCCAAGGAGAAGCAGATGGGGCACAAATGTCTATAAATAGTGCGAACACACAGAGCGATACACTCCATGGCTTTTATTTTATTCTCTAATTGTTAGTCACAGTCCATGTCTTTAAATTCGCATTTTTTCTAGACTAGCAGTCCCAGGTTAAATCTGTGTCTATCACCCCTTATTTTTGGAGCCCTACATCATTCTTGGGCTTTGTCATTCCGTTTTATGTGTTGCTCCCTGACAAAGCTGGTGCTTGCAAACCTTCCCTTGGCACATTTATGAACTTCACTTTGCAATGTCCTCCTTCATCTCCCCTCCCCTTGTAGCTTGTGGACAAGTAATACCGTGTGAAAATGTTTGCACTTTTAAACTGTCAAAATAATGGATGGAAATGATGAAATAAAGAAACTGACAATAGTTGGTACAAAATAACTTTATACAGCTCAAAATTATTTTCAGGAGTTATCCTATGGACAGTAGATCTGAATCCACAGGTGTTTTTCAGGTGTTAGAGATCAGACTCCGGCCTTGAACTCACTGCAGTGCTTTACCACGGAGTTACACTCCCAGCTCTAAATTCATGATATTTTAGCATACATCCTTGTATGTCTTAAGAAGGGTACTCTGTGTTTCCATTAGGGAAATCTTCCAAAATTCCTACGCAGATGGTTTTATTCTTTTTGATCTTCAGTTATTTGATTTTTCAGACAGAATCGACTGGTAATCGTGACTGTTAAACAGCTCATATCCTGGATTACACTGGATTTCACATGGCATGGTTCTCTATACTATGAGTTTCTTAGGAGGCACACTTTATAAACAACAACTAGAGCCTATCAATATTTTCAGTGGCACAAACAACTTCCATTTTTCTTAAACAATGAAATTTAAAAGATAGTAGAATATAAATAAAACAATGTATATTAGGCATTAATTCATGCCCGCCGATAATGTAGATTTCACATCATCAGTCAATCTTAAAAAAGCTTTTAAAATGTGTTCAGAATATGACTTTCTTAAGCTGTCACAGGAAAACAAAATGGACAGCAAACCTTGATCAACTTAAATTTGTGGCACTTTCGGACCCTAACTTGACGTCAAGTTTCCTTTACCTGGATCACTTATCCAGACAGACTACTGTGAAAGCAGGAAGTTTAAGCAGATGTGCAATAACACTTTGTTGTGTGTCTATTAGGTGCTTTGTCAACAATGCTGGCCAGTTCCTGTGACCCCATTTTAAAGGTAAGTGCTTGCAGATGGCCGGGGTTTGCTGTTTTGCCTAAGGTCTCATGTTAGAAAAAGATAGAATCAAGAATCATACCTGTTTTTGTGTTCAGTGCTCTTTAGTTATCTCTACTTACGGTCTTCTCCAGTACCTCCGTGTAGATTTTTTATATGTAGTTTATATTACTACACATAAATATTGAGAGTAACCTATTCCATCAGATAAGATTATTTATACTTTCAGCTCATCAAAAATGCAGTAGAAAAAAGGAGAAAGAAAGAAAGGAGTAAAAGGAAAAAAGAAGAGGAAGAGGAAGAGGATACTAGCAACCAAATGAGTTACTGACTTTAAGGTTTCCAGAGAAACGAGTTTCTGACAATCTGTCTATTTTCCAATATATCCACAAATTATAATTATATATTTTAGAAAAATTCCCAAAAGACAGTTAAGGAAACAAATATAATTTTCTAAAAACAATAAGCTTTAGTTATTCAAATGTAAACCAGCTCCTTTCTTAGTGACACTATCTTTCTAGAGACATTTTCCCAAATATGGATCTAGTTCCTTCAGTTTTTCAATTCTGCAAAAGGAACAGTGCAAGAAATCAGGTTAATTACTTGAATATATTACTTTAACTAAGAATCTGTGCCTACTGTATGGATGGCCAGCTCCAGAGTTGATCAACTCCATCACCAGTACTCTGAGGAGGCCAAAGTGCATATGCAGGTGAGAAAAGCTAAAAGCTTTGGGGAACAGAAATTAAGTACTTGAAATGTGGTAAATTTAAATATGGATTTTTTTTCACTACTCAGATAAAGAGGATACTTCCATTGTCCTAGATCTTTTTTCTACATTTACCAGGAATAAAATAAGATGGTTTATTGCTTCTCTCCAAGATATTATTAAAGACATTAGCATTTTAACATATAAACATATTAGCATGTTTTGGCTTTTGGCTGACTTCATTTGCAATAGGCCATGCAAGGACTGAAAAGAAAATCAAAGGCCTTCATGCCAGTTATTATTTCTGCTTTTTATTGGCTTTATTCTAGATCTACACATGCATTATGCAAATTTTCAAAATGAAAATACCTTTTAGCACACAGAAAAAGCCAACAAAGACTGTTAAGACAGACAATTACAAGAGCTGTTTGGAATACCTGGTTTTAAATCCCCATGGACAAATATGTCAATCATATATCGACAGAATGCATACTGATCTGACAGAGTAGAAAGAAAAAAAAAAGCAATGAGCAAACATCATCCACAGTTTTCTTTTTTTTCTATGTTGAAATAGTTTAACAAAACACACAACAACACACTTCTGTTGTGGTTACTACGTATTTTCTGTGATCACTGGCAGTAACAGCAACAAGACATAATAATAAATGGAACACTTTGATCCTTCCACACAGAGATAACCTTAAATGTTGAAACGGACTTTTCCAAGGTAACAGTATCATGGTTGATTGTAAAAGTCCGAACATTTTTCATCAAATTTGCTACAAGAGTCGTCATATTAAAGCAACTGTTTTTATTTGGCCCTTAGTGGACTTATAATAATGAAACAAGTTTTACAAAGGAAAATTATTTTCAACTTGGAAGATTTTTACCAAATATTCATTTCTAGTGCCTCTTCTAGCTAAGTGAGACTGCAAAATATTTTCAAAAAATCTTCAGGAGGGCAAACAGTTACACAGTTTGTTTGGGGCTCTCTGCATAGATATCCATTTAATTGGAAATTGAATCAGGAAAAACAGACTGATAGCAGCAAATCGTATCATTTGTAAGTTTATTGACTGGTTAATCTTCATAGGAACATTTTATGATTTTGACTGGTCTACAGCTGATGGGGAAATTTTTTAAAAGCAAAAAACAAAGCCTGTAGTAAACACTTGGGACAGACATTGCCAAAAATAATTTCAGGACTTGGATAATTTTTCCTTTAAATTAAAGACCTTGAACTGAACTTTAAATTCTGACACAACTTGAGATTTTCCTGTGGTATTCAGTGGTAAAGATTCCATTGATAAAGATTCTTAGAAGATTCTCTTTAAGGTTTACCATAGTTTATACTATTTTTTATATTTTCATATTCCTAAAATAGACATCTTATTAATCCACCAAATTCAAAGTCATCTTTAGAACCAATAAATTTTATTGACTTTATACAACATGACATAATTGAATTGCTTCAAAATATGTGTTTCAAACAAGAAATAACAGCTCTTGTTACTGTATAAATACATATCCAAGGATTTTTGTAGGTCTCATTCTTAGAATGTCAGCACCATTTTGAATCGATTTGATTATGAAATTATGCCAGATCATTGGAAAAACAGGTAAGCATTGCAGTGGATCTAAAAATATCATTTTCATTACACCTGAATGCAAAGCAAAACCCATAAGCACTCAGAATGCGTATGTGTTTTGATTGCTAAAACAGAAGCCCCTTCCCACATGCGAGCTGGGGTGAGAGAGGAAAGCTGCTTCTCAGCTGAGTCCTTCTCAGATGAGTCTACTCGCTTTCTCTAGCACTGATATTTACGGTCACAGTTTCAGAGCCCAGGACCCCAGTACACTGTGGTGTGGGAGGAGATTAGGACTAACGCAGGTGGTACTTTTCTCTTTGCTGCATAAAATTTCCTTTAGAATGGGTGATTTTGCTCTAAGACAAAACAAGATGAAAAGGACATTATTCTTAAATGCAAAATGAAATTGGACCAAAGCGAAGCCGTCAGCCTTTCCTCTTTGTTTCAGGACGGTAAGAGATTACACTCAGGTTTGTCCTTCATGTAACTCGGGAGTGGCTCTTAAGTGGCGGCTGAGCATCGTGGAAGGAAAGCAGGTCTGATTCCACCACAAGTGCAGATTCACTGAGGTAGAGCCCTTCATTTTTTTCACAGTGACTTCCAATAACACTACAGCCTTCTGGGGCACTGAGCGAGATCCTTTGTTTTTGTCCATGTCTGAAGTGTAGAATTCAGAGATTTTTTGGAATATAAAGGATTTGTGTAAATCCCCCAAATAAAATATTGTTCTGTGCCCCAGTTGTGATAGGGTGACTCAGTGAATGAAAGGGTGAACAGTGTACTGGATTAGCTGAAATTACACTCTGTTTCCAAATGAACAGGCAAAGTGTAACAAAACCTTTAAACTTGGTGGGATTTTTTTCTAAAGGGCTGTGCATAGATTTATTATGTTAATAATCTGTGGCTCCAAAAATCATTGATTTGCTTAATGCACCAAGAGTCCAATGAGCATCTAACTTGTGAAAGGAAATCCTGGGTGGGTTTGAATTCAAAGATCTGTCTTTTTTCTACCTGGATAAACAGTGTTTCAACAAGTAAAAGGAGTTGGTTCTTGTAAGTAATCCTGTGATCTTGCATGTAATGCCACCAAGATGTCTGAGAGAAATATTTTTAAATGTTTTCAATTAAGAATGGTGAGCTATTTTAGGTCAGGATGCCCCTCCCCAGCCGTCATAGGTGTAATTTAACAGTGTCTAGGAAGGCAGGCCTGGGGCAGTCTTAAGGGTCTGCTTCACTTGCCTTCCTGACTTTGGAAGACTTGCTTTCTGGAAATGCTTCTTTAAACCCATCTCAAATAATATATCAGGAGACTTTTCCTAAAGGAGCCTGAGTCACCTCATCAGTCTAAGTCCCAGAGTTAGGACACAGGGGTTTTCTTGCGATTGGCTATGTGGCCATCACTTTCAAGGTTTTGTTTTGTCTCTTGTTTTGGTTTTTTCCTAAATAAACACTCTTCTCAGGATAATCCACGCTGTCACTGAGTCCCTTTCCTGACCCTCAGGGAACAGGGACAGATGTCACTTAGTTGCTACCATGTCGCATCTTCTTGGAGTCGCAGCTTAGGAAAACACATCCGGGGTCCAGAATGTCAACAGGGAGGAGTTTTAAAAAAGAATTGCGACTGAGAAAGGGGTGCATGTGGTCTGGTGCTCAAAGGAAGATTCTCACCAGCTATTCCTTCTCTCCATGTCACAAAAGTATAAAGGAGCATTAAGGGAAAAAGAAGGAAGGAAGGAAGGAAGGAAGGAAGGAAGGAAGGAAGGAAGGAAAGAAAGAAAGAAAGAAAGAAAGAAAGAAAGAAAGAAAGAAAGAAAGAAAGAAAAGAAAAGAAAGAAGAAAGAAAGAAAGAAAGACAGAAAGAAAGAAAGAAAGAAAGAAAGAAAGAAAGAAAGAAAGAAAGAAAGAACAAGAAAGAAAGAAAGGAACTGAACAGGGTGCGTACTGTCTGGTGGGGGGGACTTTCCTTCTTCTACCCCAAAGACTTTCCAGAAGCTACCAGAAAGGAGGGAGCAATGTCTGCTCATGCCAAAACTTCTGACCAGACCAGAAATAGCTTCGACTGGTCCACATGTAGAGGTATGAGTGTGTGGAGGTTCAGGGTAGGGTCCACACACACACACACACACACACACACACACACACACACACACCTTATTCTCAGTGCTGACCATGCTCATAATATTTACTGTCAACTTAAGCAGTGGTCACTCCGTGGATCTCATGAAGGTTTACAAGTGAGCCCTGTGGGTCCTACTCATTCTGTTGAACTACTTATAAATCTACATGAATAGGATTCTGCAGACTCACTAGATCTCACTGAAGCTAAGCAAATAAATATCTCCTTGACCAAACCATTAAATGGATTTCACTGGGGCCTTAATGCAAGAATCTTAAGCTCAAAGCCACCCTATACCTTTTTAAAGCTCCATACCTTTATCTTGTTTATTTTAAATATCATATGATTATTTTTAAAATTAACAAATGCTCTCAAATCTTTTCCTAGAAAAAAACTAATGTTGTGTCTGACCAGACACTGTCAGTTAAATTTTTTTAACTTAACCTAATGATACATTACTTAATTGATGGTAGCTTTTCTTAATAGGGGGACTTGATTTAATAATAACATTTGCTTAGCTGATAAATCATATTTATACAATTGTTTCTAACTGTCTGTGACATTTGAATGTCATTTTAATACATAGCTTTCATGTATAAATAAAAAGAAAATTGAAAGTGGAATGGTAATATAATAATACCATTAATAGGTTTGATTCTTGATAGGAATACAAAATAGTACCTGTGATGTGAAAAACAAATATTATCCAAAAATGTCTGTGTGATATGTCTTTATCAATAAGGCATGTCCTGGAAGTTCTGAAATTACTAACAATAAACATCAAAAACTATATTTACATTACTAGTTATTATACAAGTATTTTTATATTTCTGTATATAACTGGCACACATTTTTAGATGCTGTATTTAAAGAAAAATTACACTGTCTTTGGTGTGGTTTAACTGGTTTCATGTGATTATTTTTCTTCTTTAAAAGAGAAATCTAAAATACAAAGTACTTTATGATCTAAAAAACATGATACTGTATTGTAAAAATAGTTTTCCTATTTTATATCATAATAATATGTTCCACTAAAAATAATTTTTAATTTATTTAGTATGCCTTTTTTCTACACAAACTACTCCAATGTGACATACTTTAAAGAGGTAAACAATTTTTAAAATTTTTCAAGACTATATAATTATCTTGCAAATGAAAGAAAAGCTTAATTTTTTAAAACTTGTATTCACTCATAGAGTGTTAAGTTGAAATAAATGTAAATCACCTAAATTAAAAGTTTGTAAATCACCAAAAGGAAACAAAGTCTCTTTTTTCTTTCTTCTCTTTTAAAATTTATATTTAAAAATATCTATCTTTTTCAAATGAATCATTGTTTATAATATTAATCTGTGGGGAAAGATAAAAGTAAAAGAAATAATAAAGTACAAGAGTAGACGGCAAGTGTTTTGGCATGTACCACACAATGAAGAAAATGGTCGGTTTCACTAGCCATACGACTGACACGATAATAGCATATTAAAATATTTGAATGTAAGATCTCAGAGAAGCCAAACCCTCAACTTCAGCCCTCCGACAAAATTATTCAGTTGCTAGCAGAGTTAGAGAAAATTTGTTCTGCAAAGCGCTATTACAGGAACTGGGTGCACAGAGCAGACCCGGAGCTTCAAGTGGACAGTGGCAGGACCTGCGTCCACCAGGCCTTGGGGACGATCCCAGCAAAGAAAGGCATCAGCAAGGCCCAGGGAGTGAGACTCACCGTCCCTACATGACCCTGGTGGCACCCCACTCCTCTGTCCCCACAGAGATCCTCCCCATCCACGGCCAGCACACTGGGGTGGGAAGCTCGGCCTTGCTCCTGCTGAAGAGGAGGATGTGTCCTGCACAGTGTCCTGCAGCCACCAATTTGGCCAGTGGAAACTGTCACTGAACCTTGACGTTCCACTCTCCATAACTTATTACGTTAAATCAATTTTACTTTTTAGTAAGAATGCTATTAAATTAATTCAATAATTTGATGCATGTTCTAAATGACAGGATCCTGCAGAGACATAAGGAAGGCAGATATTTTGGATACTTATTCTCTAGATTTGAACCCTGACTGCTCAACAAACACACTGAGGATCGCTGGCTTTTTTCTGGACTGCTTTTGTTCCAGCAGAGTGACAACCAGAATGGCTCACTTGCTATTTCCCCTCTGCAGAATAATTCTCTCCCTCAAGCATGGGACCTTTACCACCGCCATTTAGACAGCTCGGGATGCTAATTCAAACCCCACTTTAAAAATACTTCAAATATATCTATGTGAACAGGCTTCAGTGTTTCTAGGACTGCACAGTAACTGCTGGCTGCTGCCTGCCGTGGTCAGGCAGGTGTACTTGTGTGAATCTTTGATCCCCGTGTGAAGTCTGACTGGTTCTCTTTCAGGTTTCAATCTCACAGCATCTGCTTCTGGCCCAGCACTCTCTTAGCTCCTCTGGCCGCCTCCTCCTGCAAGCCTTTACCTTTCTGGTCCTGTTCCCAGGCCGCCGCGGGCACCTTGCTGTCCTTCTCCTTGGCTTTTGGGGCTGCTTTCTGAGCCTCCTTTACCTTGACTGCTGCCGCAGGCTTCACCTTCTCCTGCTTCCCGCCTTTCCCTTCCTTTTTCACCTTTTCTTCGGTCTTCTCTTTAGTCTTTGCTTTCTTGTCATCTGTGTGTAGTTAAGAAGCATTGGATTACTTCCCCTTACCACATATTTCTTCTATAATTGTCCTTAAACCCAATTTTTAAAAGAAGAAGAAAAAAACAATCTAAAACTAGCATTTCTGAAATAAATGATCAGTTTCATGTAGTTTATGAAATCCTATGTTAGACTTAGCCCTCATAAGGAAATATGGCTTTTCCTTAAATTTTTTCATGTAATATTTAACTCTTTAATCAGTTTATGTTTGTGATAGGTAATAATTACACTCATCTCGGGGAGCTAATATATACATACACATACTGAAACTTACTGGTTTTGCTCCCTCTCCCCCTCCCAATCCTCCTCTCTCCCTTTCCCACCTCCTCTACTTTCCTACTAATTTGAACATGAAAACAGTGATTTTGTTTGATTTTTTTAAAGTTGCAGATAATCAAGAACTTAGGCTGGCACTAATAAAGAGACTTCTGTGATGTGCAAAGGATGTGTGTAAGGCACGCTCACGGGAAAGACGCCACACCAAGGATCCCGGTAAGTGAGCCTCCTTTTGAAGGAGTAAGCACATTGCTGTAATGACCAGGTCCCACTGAAGCGTTGGGGCCCTGTATGAAACCTCCCAGTACAGTGGGTGCCTCTTACTGAGACTCATGTTAAGGATTTCATGAAGATAGTATGGCCCCGTTTCCCGAATCTGTAGCAAACGAGGCCGAGACAGTACTGGGGTGGGCCATGAAGAGAGGAATAATAATGGCCATGCAGCTCCCAGTATCCTACAAGACCAGAGTCATCTGTTACACTGAAGCCAATGCATTGGGCTAACACCCTGTACTCAGAGACTATCCGGGAGATGCTACTGCACGAGGGGTCAGAATTTATCGTTACACATCGCCAGTGTCTCCCTGGGGGATTTTACAAAGATAAGGTGCATCGGGAGTCTTCAAGGGGAGGTACTGTGCCACACACACTATGCAAAGTTACTTCATCACAAAAGTCTCCTACAACTATCACCCATCTCAAGCTTCCTCCGGCTTTTGTGACCATCCTAAGGGATTTCCTTCCACTGCCCATAAACCACTTCTAAATTGTCTTTCCTTACGTCTGCCCTTTGCTGCCCATTAAACTCATACATTTCTGTGGCTGAAAAAAAAAATCGGCTTTTGAAGATGACTTCCAATGCACACCACCTCCGAACCCTACAGTGAGCTGTTTGTTACTGTCCATGTAGAGAGGAAGTTTTTCTGGGGAGGCCAAGAGCACTTTGAATCATACAAGTCACACATGTGCATCCCAGAAAGACCAACCCAGAGAGCCTACTTGTTCAGTTTCATGGTTAGTTGATGTAGCTTTAAAGATCAGAAAAATGATAATATCCACGTGAGTGAATGTTTCTGTAGCACTGAAAACCCTGCAAGGCTTTGTTTCATCTGCCTCTCCTCTCTCAGTCTTTCCCAAGGTTTCCTCTCTACCACATGACATACTATTTCCCCAGTATCTCAGATATGTTCCGTGTGCCTAATATGTCAAATGGCAAATTTTACATTCTGCAAGTTTTTGATCTATCTAAATTCCATAATCCTCTCTGCATGAAAAATGTAGTTCTGACTTTGGAAGTCACCATTCCTTCCCCATCGGCTTCCTTTGGCCCTAACTTTTATAAAAGCTGGCATTTTGTTCTCTATATCTAGAATTATAGACCACTCTTCTTCTGTCTGTCTCCTGTACCACACTCTTAGACACTTAGAAATAATGCTATTACTCATTTTTGTGTCACTTTTGTGTCTAGCACAGTGCATTTTTTTCAGAAAAAATTAAGTATATATGGAATTAGCAATTTTGATCAAAGAGTAAATTTTCTGTTACTGTGGCCATGAGTGCAGTAATATATGGATTGTGTATGTAAACAGAAATGTTTTAAATGAGTTTGTGAAGTCTGACACATGTACCCGGGTAGACTAGGAAAGGCCTGCTGTTTTGCACGAAGAAGTTCTGAGACGGTGTAGCCGTTACTGGCCTTGGGCAGGCCACAGTTCAAACAGATCAAGAAACTCTGAGCGAACATTGCACATGGCAGAGGTGATTAGGTGAGAGATCCGTGAGTCGTCGGTGTGAGTCCCTGATTTACACACACCTGCATCTTCTGTCTTCAGGCAGGTGGAATGAAGCCAGCTATCATGTCCAGGAGATGCATGGGCAGGACTATGAGAACTAGACCTGGTCCATAGCCTGGTGGGCATGGCCTTGGAAGTGGTCTTTCTCTAGCTGAGCTTACAGACAATGCCGCAGCCCTGGGTAACAGTGTGGGTGAAGCTTAGTGAGAGATAGTGAAGCAGAGGGCCAAACTCACCATAGCCAGAGTCTGGATTCACAGACACCACCAGATATGATGCACGGTGACTTACACGTGGTAGTCTGTGGTAATGTTTTAGCTGGCAAAGATGATATTTAACATATATGCATATAGTGAATAAATGCTGCTTGAAGCCTTGTTTATCGCTGAAAAGAAAACCTGACTTACATTTAGGTCACTTAAATTTTTTACTGCAATCCAATTATATACTAGTTATATGATCATGCCAATTTCTTTGTTTTCTCTGGGGTTGAGATATTTCATATGTTAAACTTGGTAATTAATTTATACAGTTGATAAAATCCCTACTAGCATTTAGATTTTGTATGGATATGTATTCACAAATACATATATATGCATGCAATTTGTGTTTACATTTGTGCAATAGAAGAGATCCAAATAGAATAAAATCACATTGATTTAAGTATTTAGTCTTGTGACAAAAGTCATGTTACCTTCCCAAAGGCCTCGTTCTATAATTTATCTGATTTAACTTCAATTGAATATTTTGTTTTGTTGCAGTAAAATTTTGTTTAAAGTACATCTGCTTCAAGTGTCTAACATTTTATATTTTATGGATAATCACTGAATTTTCAAAATTATTTGGACATGCTAGGTTAAGATATCTAAAGTGTACTGATCAATGTGTATTTTAAGGTATGAGCAAGAAATTTATATTTAGAAGATAATATTGAATTATCAGTTAAAATTCATGTTTGTATCATTTAATAAATGACAGATAACTGTGACAGAAAAATAAGATTTTTTTAATATTTTAAACTACATAGTATTACAACCATATTCTAAGTGATTGAGGTCAAGGGGTAGAGGACATATTATGAAGATATTTTGGTTGTTGGAAATCTTAAAATAATGATCAAGATATATCTGCTAAAAAGTTTCTGAATTTGAAACTCCAAAAGTCAAATGCAATTTGCAAACATGATCAAAAAGTCAGATATGTTTGTGTCCTGTTGTTATGTTAACAAATTATCATAAACTGAGCTGGCCAAAGCAGTACCCATTTATTTTCTCCCAGTTTCTAAGACTTAAAATACTAGCTCAGGAGGATTCAGCCCAGCTCTTTGCTGAAGGTTCACAAGGCAGAAGCAAGCTGCCAACATTCTGTGTTTCTTAGCAGAATCTGCAGAAGAATCGGTTTCCTTGTTTCTTCAGCGTGGACGCCAGAGTCATTTCTTTCTCCCGTCCCATGTTGCCCCCGCATTTTTACACAGCCCCGGTGTTCACGCTTCGGATGTTCCTTTTCTTTTGATCCTGTTTTTAAACACTTTCTAACAGTCTAGTTAGCCCAGCTGGGGAGGCCAGGGGGGCTTGTTGTTATTGTTAGATGCAGCTCCACACCCTGTAAGAATTGCCTTTTGTCATGCTTACAGCAGAATCGGCATGACAATTATGGTCAGGTCACGGGACCAAAATATAGCCAATTATGTTCAACGAAGCTCTTTATTTCCTCTTGTGGTTTGAAAGGATCTGTTGTTTTACCCATTCAGTGTGGTCACCCTTTAGATATTAAATTTTAATTGTGAGGCCCATCATTATGCGAATGTCTGCAGATATCTATAACACAAAATGTAATCCATCAAAGTAAAAAGAATTTAAATACAGAAATAAGAAAAGGAAAAAAGTTACCTTTTGCCTTTGTTTCTGGCTTTTCTTTTTTCTCAATTTTCTCCTTGTGAGTTGCTTAAACAGAAAATTTTATATTAGAATGTATGTTCAACAGACATCAAAACCAACTTTCCTCACCAAAATCAGAAACTACTTCTGCAGACGTGTAACACTGATGAATCTAACTCAGGAATAAAGAGTTAGCAATGCGATAATCACTATGTAGAATTCAGTGGAAAACTTGACATTTAGACTTAGAAAACCTTTCTAAAGCTAGACCCACCCCTTTCTCTTTTAAGTCCTTATTCCACACAGATAAAGCTTTCAAGGAGGAAAAACCAAGAAGGGGCAATTTTATAAAAAAAATATGTCTTTATATCAGGAAGAACTTTTCAGGATGCTGAATATGAAATATGCATGGCTAGCATGGCCAGTAGGCACCTGCTCCTCAAGGAAGCACAGCTGGCATTTGGCAAAGAACAGCACCCAAAGGGACCGACTCCCACGGTGGTGACACCCACTTACCACGTATGTCCCCTCCCTGCCGGTGACATTATGACAATCAAAAAACATTTCTAAAATGCACAGCACACTCTGGGAGACAGAGGCAGAGAATACAGCCCAGCCTGAGTATCTTAGCGACTCAGTGAGAATCTGTTTAAAACTACAAAGTACAAAAGGCAGGGAGGGGCTGCTGATGTAGCTCAGTGTAAACGCACTGAGTTCAAGTCCCAGCGCAATAAGCAAAGATAAAACATCTTTCCCAGTGTTCCCTGGAGAGTCTCAGGCTGGGTAAAGAACTAACACTGGTGGAGAAAATCGTTCGGGAAAGGATCACTGACAGAGTCCAGTTTCTTAGCTGACCAGTATCCCTCATGACACCTAAAACTTTACACTTGCGTTTGGAATTAGTAGATCAGTGTGTGTTTATTGGGAATTGTCTTATTGTCATGCGCTGATAAAATCTCGCGTCTTGTAACAGTTTCAGTAACAATGATCTGGGAAATACAGTAACATGGGCAGAGTGTTCTTATACTTCAGATCGGTTCCCCTGGTGGCTTGGTAGCTTCCCTGATGATCGTACATTTTTTTCAACTCCATATATATTTTGTTGGAGAATAACCAGGAAAATTAAATTAAGTTATAGGAAATAAGTTACTAAATATGTTATAGGAAATTAAATAAAAGATGTAAATTTTAATTAAGCACTTGGGAAGGAGGCAAATTAGACACCGAAAGAGTCCATTTCCCCAGCAGGTAGGAATCAGTTCTGCTTACAGGGGCCTGGTGGAAGCTGGTCCTGAAGCCTGTGTGGCCGCACAGACCAGGCTTCTTTTCTTGACTTTGCTGACTGCAAAGCAGCAGGAAGGATCTCACCAGAAGGGAGCCACCGAGTGACTTTCTGTTCTAACACCCGGTCTGTGGCATTTTGTTATAGGAACAGAAGGTTTATGAATAATTCCCCAGAATCTTGAACCTCATAGAAAGCAAAAAACAAAAGGCTCCTAACTATATGAGGGGCGGGAAGAGCCCTAAAGCCTGGTGCCTGCTCCTCCAGGGGTTCAGTCCCCCAGAGCCGCCTCCACTGCCAGGGCTCCAGGGACGGCATTCGGGGACAAGGCATGGCCACACAGGGCCATGGGCAAGGGGGTACAGTGACCCCACGGCCAGGCTGAGTGGGGCGCAGTCCACATCCGGCCATGGGGCTCTTATACTTGATGTACAGGAAGAAAATAGTCACGCCTCTGTCTCTTATAGCAGTGGGTGCCTAAATAGCTGGATTACCCTCTACCTGAGCCACTCTAAAACCATAGCAGAAAATGGAATTAGATCGTTACTATACATCACACATCAAAATGGAGTTTGTGATGAAATAAAATAAATTTTAAAAAAATTTTTTAAATTATGGAAAATATGGGTACCTGTTGAATCAATCACAGAGAGAAAGATTCAAAATTAGAAACACCAAAGGAAAATACTGATATCCTGTCATATGAAAGTTCAGGAATCTGAACACACACACACGTATGCATTTATATGAACCCATTCACAGACAGAAGTGCAGACTACAAAACAAACGGAAACATATACTAAAAAAGTGATAGACTGAAAGATAGATGTACATGCCCCAAGACAGACAGACACACACACACACACACACAAACACATGCACAAAAGAAGAATGAGTGTGAACAGTTATATAAGAAGAAAACTAACTAAAAAAAGAAGAAAACTAAAAATCACATTGAACTATTCAGCCTACCAATAGTAAACAGATAAAACTTATGGTGGAAGAAAATTCATTTAAATACCCATCCATCTTTATTTAGAAGGTTGAGGAGAATATTTATAAGTGTGAAGAAATGTTTAGGACATATTTTTAAATTATAAAAGTGATAAAATAGGGCATGGTAGATTTTGGTGTAAAAATCAGGAAAGCAATAATCTGTACTATTCATGTTACATTAGGAAGATAGGCTATAACATCTAACATAGCACAGTTGTCTGTTATAAACTGCACTGGTGTGAACCACCCGTGCAAGTAACAACACCCTGGAGGACACACATGATGCTCCTAGGAGTGGCTGGCCCTGGGCAGCTGGCGGGATGGCATGGGAGCCCAAGGGTGAGTCAGAGGAAAGGAGAGGAGAGGGGGTCCGTCCTGCCTGCCCAGGGCTGAGCAGGGAGGTCACCTGCCTGTCCATTCCAAACGGAAACCAGCGGCAAAGTGCAGACTGACAGGAGATCAAAACATGTCAGTGGCAGTAACAAGATCAGCTTTCTATCTACACAATTGGCAAGTACTTTCTGAAATAACATTTTCTTTGTTGTCTAAGGCAAAGAAACCACAAGGAGAAGCCATGATGAAACATTTGTAAGAACGTGAATTGGGGACAGAGTTCAAGATCCTTGAGTACTTTATCCTCCTCTCTCTGGAAATTCCCCCTTTCAGATTCTATCCCAAGGGAAAATCACAGTATAAGTTAAAAGGAGAAACATGAGTTCATCTGAAATATGACAGTGAAGGAGGGAAGGATGAAAGGAGAAAATGTAATATCAAAAAAGTAAAAATGAATAATCATATACCTTTCTTTTCGGGTTTTTCTTTTTCTTTTGTTTTTTCTTTGTCTTTTTCCTTTTCTCTGTGTGTAACTGGAATGAAACAGATAATACTTTTTATTTAAATAAAAGAGATAGATGACAAGATACGTTCGAGGATATTTGATATCAAAATCTCACCTGCTGCTTTTAGAAATCTTCTGTTAACTAGCATGAGGCTTTACATACTTGAAGTTTTAGACTTCAGTGTAATTATAGATCTGCCATGTTGTTTCTATTTTTATTTCACCTTTAAGCACAAACTAGTACCAAAACAAGGTATGGCTGCACAGATAACAATGTCCCTCAGCTTTTACAAACCTTCAATTTAATGACTTAGAAATGTTTTAAAAGTTACGATACCAGAGGTCAAAGAGTCCAGCTTTACTATTGAATGAATACCAGAAAATATGAAGACAAAACACAGGTCTCCTGGACCAGAAGGAAAGAAGAATTAACTGTATGTGTAAATCTTTTACAAAAACATTCCGCATTAAAAGTTTTTGAAAATGTACTTGAAGGAGATTAAAATCTTAACAAAACTTCTCAAAGTAATTTAATTAGTTGTGATGCAATTGATTGTTACAGGTGATTCAAACTTAGGAAACAGAACTGTCCCACACTTAACGCATAATCATTATTTACTATCCAAGTCAGAAAAGAGTAGCTTATCCCAGAATCTCCTCTCTCTTCCCTTGTCTCGATATGTTTCACCTCACTCTTTCAATCTTACTTTTTAAACATTCCCTCTGGCCCTTATTCTTTTATTTAATATTCCATTCCCTTAACCTATCATTTACTGCACAAATATACAGAAAGTTATGAGCTGTGAGCTGAAGACTGTGCTAGACAGGACAAATACCAGTCCTGCCACAGGGATGCCAGCAAGCTCAGAGCGGGTGGATGTTCCAGGAATAAGGGCAAAGGCACTTAGAGCGGGCAGCATGGGCCCCAAGGGCTGACGGGGCAGGACATGCCAGAGCATGGGACAGCACCTAGCTTCCCTAGGGACTCGGGAAAGCGCTCCTGGTTGAAGTGAGACTGAAGATGCGAGAGAAGCGGAAGAGTTTAGCATCCAGGGGTGGATGAACAAACAAAGGAAAGAGACCATCTCAGAAGGCTGCAGCAGGAATGCATCCTGGACAGGCTGCTGGCGAGGATTTTACCGTAACACCCTGATGGCTCTTCAATCTTTAGATTTTTTTTTTTTTTTTTTTTTTTTTTTTTAGTAATGGTGGTCGAACTCATGACCTTACATTTACCAGAGAAGCTCTTGAGCCACTGAGCTAAATCCCTGCTCTTAGATTTAGATTTTCTTACACAGTAACCCTTCTAACATAAGTCAGCTTATATTATTTGTCTGTTATAAATATTAGCGTCCTTTTCATTGCTAGCTTGGTATCTGTCAGTGAGTGATATGTCAAATACAAAAATATTTTATGACTCTAGTCATCTGACACGTGCCTACCAACCCGGTCTTCCACGTCAGGAATTTCTCCTGAAATTCATATGTCCCGGTTGTAACAACACACCTGCAGCTCTGCACGAGCAAGAGTATGTCCTGTGCTACGTTCGCATGGCCGCTTGCCTGTGTCTTCTACCTTAAACCCCTTGCATTTTTCACTCTCCCTCCCCTGGTTCATGGACCCTTGGTCAGTCTCGGCTCACATACCTCCTCCTCTGGAAAGCTGACTTTGACATCTGCTTATCACAGCCCTCCCTGTGCCATGCACAAGACTATTTCAGTGATTAAACTATCCTGCAATTGTTCTTACACCTGACTGCCCACCAGAGGAAAATCCAGGGGAGATACAGGTTAATTTACTTTTGCATTCATGGTTCATTGTCTAATACAGGCCACACAGTGGACTTATAATCGTATTTTTGAAAAAGTGAAATTCTAAAATATTGTAAAAAGAACTAGTATCCTTCTCTTCTCTATACACCTCTTTTGACATACATATTTATATATGGAGCGCCATGCACTGGCTGCTGCTGGCATGGGACAGCCACACCCACACCTCCCTCTGTGAGTCAGCACTGTTCCCTGACTGCAGGGGGAGACAACCAGGGGCTTCACGGGGAAGGGATCCCAGCCAGAAAACCATGTCACTTTCATTGTTTTGTTGGGTTGGATTTTATTCTCCTTTGTTTTGTTTGATTATGTTAAACCTGATGGCAGGAGCAGCTCTTTCAAAGATAAGATATATTATATAGTAACCATTCTGGATTCACTAGTGGCTTGTTTTGAAGTCCTTTATGGCATCCACTATTTGTCTTTATTGTTTCTACTCTATTCTGTCCTATTTGATTTTACTATGATGAAGGTATTGGCAGCTACTTTGAAGACAACAAAAGGCATTATGGTAACTATTGCTGGTTTCATAAGGTTTTGAAGTCCTGTATCACTTACACAGGTTTGTTTTTTAATTTCTTTTATTGTGTTTTATTTTCCTTGATTTTATCCTCTTTAAAATACAATATATCTATGTATCTGTTTTGTATATGTAATATATATGTATCTTTTAATATATATAAATATCTATATCTATCTATATGTGTGTGTGTGTGTGTGTGTGTGTGTGTGTCCCTGCTTGCTTCCAACTATTCCAAATAGTTTTTAGCTTGTTAAACTTTCTCAAATAAAACCTAAGGATAAACATGAGGGGAACACACCTTAGAACACCTAGGCATTCTTCTATTCCTTGCACAGGTAGTGGTTTTGTGGGTGTTTCTGAACTAAGTTCATTATAAGTATCTTTCAAAATAAGGGGAGGAAATCAGCATTTGCACAGACTGCAAGTAGCTTGGTTCCTTTGGATCATTATTAATTAAGCTGAAAACCAAAAGAAATTCTTGGCAGAAACAAAGCCTCTTTTAAAGTTTCTCTAGGGAGAACTGAGTTTGTGTGAGATAAGCCATGTTTTCCAAGCCCTGACTGGAGAGAGTCTCTGGGGAACTGCTAATCTGAGCTCTGCCTCGTCAGGGACAGAGCTTCCCCCGACCCCAGGCAGCTGCCTGTCGGTCCCACTAAAGGGTTTTCAGGTTGACGTGTGCACAGGCATAAATGGGAGGAATAATACGGAAATCAAAAGAGCAAGCGGCTGACTTCAGACTCAAGTTAGCATATTAGCTCTTCCTTCCATTACCCCGGGGACAAATCTGGTCTCTCCAGTGGAAGTGTGGATTTACAAACACGGTATTGCATGCCAGAGTTCCCTTCTACCCCTTTCGAAATCACTCTATACTACAGCTTGGGGAAGCATCTGGACCCATGAGCTCTGGGGAGCTATTCAAAATGGCACACCGCCACCAAAGCGGCTTAGACGGAGATGTCAAACTTTGCCATGACGGCTCAAATTCCAAGTCTTGAAATGACTTTCATCCCAATAATGCAACAGTCCATAACTGCTCTAATAATCACTATAAACTAAAAATGACTAGCTCGTGCCACTCCATTTGCTTCTGCAGCCTTAACCTTGGAACCTACAAGCAGGACTTTCACATACAGGAAGCACAGGGCACCTCCCCTTCACCAGCCATGTGTGGCAAGTTCTGTCATGGCCAAGACAATTTTAGCTCAGGACAGAACAAGCTCTCTGCACCTGCTAGAGCTTAATTTGTTTGTCATCCTTATTTATAAGAAACAAAAAGCCCTTTGGTGCACTGGTAATGAAAAACAAATGGGACGCACCAGCTGAAATGGCCCTGAAGGTTGGCATGCAAGTTGGCAGAGGCTTGCTGAGACAGGATCGTCTGGATTCTGACCTTTCCCTGACCATAACATTCAGCCCAGCTCAACTCTAAAGAGCACCTCTCAACTCCCCAGGCCTTGACCTCAGCACATCCCAAGATGAGATCTATGCTTCTGTGTTTGATCTCAGTATCTTTTCTAAAGGGAATCACAGCTCTAGTATCTGACCCTGCAGTTCTCACTGGCCTGACAGTCCCCCAAAACTAAAACCCAGGTGGTCAGAGACCTTGTTTACTCTCTACTTTTAGCTCAAACATCAAAAGTCTTGATGTCTGAGTTGTTAAAGGACTGATCCATTTGGGCTCCTGCATTCCCTGATCAACGGACAGTAAATAAACTTTCACACAACTCTGAAGCTCACATTTGACTCTACGGCATGAGTCTCAGCTGCTCAGCAGATAGAGAAGGGATTAGCACTGTAACGTAACTGTAACGTCTCTGGGAAGCATGCTAAACTATAATAGAATTTAGTGCTTTTCTTTCCACGCATTTCTCTGTTTCTCAGTTTTCTGCTTCTTTTGTAGGAGAAAGTCAGTAAATTTTTGAATAAGGAAAGACTTAAGAAAGCCTCACAAAATTCATGCATGTATATGGTTTTAATTCTGTCATTTTTTTAAATGACAGAGCACAATACACATTTATTTTGTACCAATTAAAAACCAAATTCTCCTTCACTGCCATTAAACAATAATGCCAGAGATAGCCCTGGTTGTCTCTGGTGTGTTTCATTCTTTTTGTAACTAGTCTGAAGAATTTCAATTCTGGGGCAATGAAAAATGATTGAGGCACTTTTCAAAGATAATAATGAATGCAATAGAAAAAGATTCTTGAATAGAGAAACTTCAAAAAGATTATAGAATACATTCTTTGTGAAAAGAAGAATTTATAATTTTAACTTGAACAAACACACACAGTTTTAGAACTGGTAAGGACATAAAAGATCAGCTGGCCTGAGCTCCATTGCGGTGGGTAAGAAATGGATTCAAGCACCTGAAGCAAAGTACTGAAAGAATATAATTACATGATTACTTCATCTCCAGACCACGCTAACCTGTCCCTTCCAGTTCCTGCGTAGACCGTGGACTTGTTCTTACAAGCTCCAGAATGCTGACTGGAGTCTGCAGCAATGTAACTGAAAATCTCTCAAAAACACTACAGTGAGGATTTAGCAAAATATCGAAAGTTAAAATCTGACATATATACTTTAAATCACAACATAGATGTTTCCATGGCTAAGACACTGGTTTTATTCTCAAATCTGATTGGCTTGAATGGATAATTCTCCTTCCCCTGGTTTTTT